ATAGCTTATAATAATTATGATTAAAAAAAATGTATTTATTAAATCGTAGACGTATATGCAAATAAAATTAACCAATTTTACTTACTCTGGAGAATTTTTTGGTATTATCGAACAGTCTATAACAAAAAAATTTTTGAAATCTATTAATTAGTTAAATATTTATTAATAAATAATTCTACAATAATTAAGAAAGCAACAGATTTATGAGAAGATAGATGATGCACATATGCAGATTGCATCTACTTTTCACAGTCGTGTCCAGCACGATCAGAAAATACCTTTTCTCCTCACGGTATTACTCTCGTTCGCTTTTAGCGCTTCGTAGCAACGGTATCGTTGAGCCGCGTAAAGGATAATCCTCGATAACGATGTCGTACATTCCGAAAACGACGTCAAGGGGTGGATCGATATGTGTTTTACGTAAGGGTGACCATTCGTTTCATATTTGCTTTTGTTAGGAACGTCGCATTAGCGCGTCGACGGATATAACGTGCGAACTAATGCCGTCGTCGCGCACGTGCTAAGCGGGCATCGATGCGGGGCCGGAGATGTATCTGCCTATCCAGAAAATAATCCAGAGATAGGTATCTTCCCGTTGTCGCGTCTATAAATGACGAGGTAGTGTCATTTTAGGGTTGACAGGAGCGCGGAGTGCTCGGAGATTAAAGATTATTTACGAGATGACGATAACGTTTTTAACGATAACATCTAGCGATCGGTCCTGAAAGGGGAGAGACCCACCAACCGTTTTCACGACAGACCAAGCGAGAAATGCCGCTCGTCACGACGCATTCATTTGTCTATTGGCTGGTGCCTCTGACAGCCGTTCGGCTTCGATGTTAACGAAACGTTACAGCCGTCGACGGTGATAGTTTGTCATAACCGCAGCGCTTGCTGTAAGAAACACATTCCCCATATCTGGTTTCGCCAACATCCGTTAACTTCAACCGTAATTTGTTTTTAATTTTTTTTGGTTTTAGATTTGCGAAAAAAAATATTAACGAAAATTAAAATAAAAATTTACGTTAAAGAACAAGCATTTGGCAAACATTAATTTTATCGAAACCAAAATTTTTCATAGTTCTGAGAGTATTCTATATGGTTAATCTGTAAGATTGACATAAAGAATGCTCGCGCGCAATGTAATATCATCCCGTTGAGATTCCTTCACGCCACGGAGCATTGCTGACTCGGTCGAGGATGGGTAAGGGATTGGTGCGTTATGAAGCAGGGGAGGGCGCGAAAAGGGATGATGCATAGAGAGATGGTCGTAGGTCTCTCCTCTACGACGAGGGATGTTATTTACGGTATTTAGATAACCGGCTTACGCAGGGCCCTCACACTCCCCCGTTGGCCGTGATCCCGCGCCCGAGATAGCGCCGGCACGAGTGTCACCGGCAGCGCGCTGGCTGGCAACCTGCGAGAGCGAGGATCCGCGCGCATTCGACTTGTAGATTATTATAACGAGCATCGCGTTGCATTAGCATACGTATCTGTTCTGCCGGGAAACCCACGGCGGGCGGCTGCTGCTGTTGCTGCTGACGCAGTATTATACCGAGGAATTACTCCTCTCTTACTCACCCTAACTACGTCTTCGACCGCGGTGCCGCAGTCTTTGGTCTGTTTGTGCCGCGCCACTTACGTCTACAATCAGTTGTTCACCTGAGCATATATCGTGTTTCGGATTTTCCAGATTTGTTACGAAATAGTTGCGACTACTTTAATGGCAAATGTATATGGTATAATTTACAAGGTGATTTTATCGCTCGACAAATCAGATAGGAAGTTCAAAAATGTTTGCTTTTGTTTTTTACCAATAAGATAAAAAGATAAAGCTAATTTTGCAGGTGCAGCGTTTCAGCTTTTGTTTTGCTTAAATGTGTGCTGTGCGATCGAGAAGAATACTAAGCTTAGATACGATAATAAGTAGCGGAAGTCAATGTGAGAGTCTGATTTCGGGAAACGGCAAATTTTAGTCGATATTATCTAATTGATCACAGGGGAAGGATACGTCGTTCTGCTCTAACTTCACGGTCGGTCGCGCGTATCTTCCGGGAAGAGTAAATCCGACCGTATCTTTCTCGCGTGTTTGAAATAGATTTTGGAAAGTAGTATGAGAATTTTGATATTAATAAATTTTACTGAAAAAAAAATCGAAGATATTATCAAACCACAGAATTTTCATCATTATTATCACCATAAAGAATAAATATGTAAAAGTTAAATAACTACAATATTATCCTTTACCAGATTCAAGTATTTAAAATATCAAATCTGCGGGCGATAATAACATTCTGAACGACCAAAAAGTATAGCTTTTTAAAAATTAAACAATAAAAGAAAACAAGTAATCATTGTAACATGGCTTTCTCGAGAAAGAAAAAGGATAATAAACCTCAATAAAGCGTACCATCAATCGACATATGCCAGAATGCGTAAATCCGCCCTTGAGTGCACAAGCGGATACGTCGGGAGGAAAACATCGTAGACACGTACATACCGTTCTTTGTTTCCCCCTCGCGTGTTACTCTTTTGTTCATCCATTAGCCCCGATAGCGATGTCGAACGAAGCGAACGATCGCTCGAGCGCTCTCCGGCATGGTTGGCGGCGGCGCGACTCGGTGTGATCCGATAAACGGATAGATATCCGTCCGTCCGTCTAACCGGTACCACTATAATTAACGCTGACCTCTCGACGACCCACCGGCAATTTTAGTAAGCGAGCGATACGAAACGCAGACGATCATAATAATCGCGGGCAAATCTTTCGACTTGTCAATCAGCCGACTGACACACGATGGTGGGTTGTTGCCCACCGTGGGCTCCGGCCCCGGGTTTGCGTGTCTCGAAACGCGGCGTTGCATGCTAACTCTGCGAATGCTCAGCCATTAGCCGTGCTTTTCTTACTTCCTCGTTCGAGCCCGTCCGCGTGTACCCTCCTATCGTTGCATCCTTTTGGCGTGTAGTCCGTGGTCTCGATATTTACGGTAACACCGCGGAGTACACCACTTCGACGTTGTCCGAGCGCAGTCCAACGATAGCAGGTGGTTACGCGGCTAGTTTGATTTGTACACAATTGAGTGTAAGTCTGGGAAGTAAAATTTATGGGAAACATAAATTCAAAAAAAATATTTCTCGTTTTCAGAATTATTTGTAGATAAAAATTAGATTAATCGAATTAAATTTTTGTATAAAGACATATAACTTCAAATTTTGCTCTTTGTACAGATTAATATATTACTTATCGCTATGATAAGTTTCTCTCTCTTATTATTCTCTTTTGATTTCTATTTCTTTCTGATATGAAATATTTAAGTAATCAGACGACAGAAAGCGTTCGGCGCATGATTCAGCCAAATATTGCTTTGGTTCCGTTACGGTCCTTTGGAAAATTGGTGATTCGTCGAAATGGTTCGTGGGTGAAATCACAATTATCGGATCGTGGCACGACACGGATTCACATACGGCTACAATAGGATACTCGAGTGGGATACAATGTGTATGAGCTTTATTGTCCCCTTGAAAGCATCGGTCAGTTCGGTCCATCTGCTGACCCAGCGATAGTTGCTACACGTACTATTGTAGTCATCAATTGCATCGATTGCAACAAATTCCTAGTACATCCGATACGCTATTCGTCCAAAAACTTAAACGTAAACTCTGTAAATCTATTTTCTATCTACGTTTGTCTTTGCAATAAAAATCATCATGTCAAATATGAAAAATGTTATATTCTTAATAATCATGATTTCATAGCTTCACAATCTTGACTTTACGTTATGATGAAATATTGAAAAAAATTCTAATATAATTATAATTTATCGTGATAGTAGTATATTTACACGAGCTGTAGTGAAATAAAATCTGAATTCGAGCAATCGAGACGCTTAGGCGCGTGAAATCAGTCTCCATGATTAGAGAAGTCAATCAGCCTCCAGGGAGGATCATTAAATTGCAAATGCAAATGGTGAATGGTGTAGCGCAAGGAGGGTGCACCAAGTGGGCGCTAATATGCGCCAGATCCATTAATCATAACCCGGGGGATTCTGTGAGCAAGGATGTGCGTTCGCGCGTGTGTACGAGAATAGATGCGCTACGTCTGTGCAAGTATATGCAGTCTAAAACTGAAACAGGTTAACGTTAGACACTCCCAGTCGCACGTTGGGGGACATTCAGCATTGTTCGTGGCGCCGGGCTACCCTAAATATTAACAATGAGCGAACAGGGGTCAGTACAACCCTCGAAAACTTTCTCTAATTCCTCACCCCCGAACCCCATCTCCTTCTTGCCCTCTGACCCCGCACCCCGCCTCGCCACTCGTTTACAGCCTGAACTTTTCGCTGTAGCCGATACGAATCACGGAGCTGGAGTAGAATATCCATTCATGGGCCAATAGATTATAAAACAATGCTCGCACTCTTTAGTTATTTTTTCTGAAAGTATTGAAAATATAATTTTGAAATATTAAAAATATTGTAACAAAATATTACGTTTTTAATTAATAAATTGATATATAAATTTTATATAATTATATATTAATGTTCACAAAATTAACTAATACTTGATTAATACATCCGGTGACAGTAATAATCTATGAACCGTTATTGTGCAATTTATTCTGATGCTCAGTTTCTCCGGTATGTTGGCATGTAAACGATCATAATAAAATTAATTATGTGCACAAACACTATACTGCTATAATAATTTATGTAAATGGCGAGGTAAATATATTGCCAAATATTTAGACACTGATAATGACGATTTTATTAAATTATAAAACAGACTTTGAATGATTAGAAAATGATTGTATATAATCTCTGCAAGAGATGTGCAATTCTTGCAGCATTGCATGCAATTCTTGCACATTTCTTGGTAGAGTAATGCAAATCACGCGGATAAAGTGAGCAACCGAGCAAGTCATCGTTAGGTGAGTGCTTAAACCGTAGCGATATGAAAGGCGACATCCCTAAATGGACCAGTTGTGAGAAGGCAATATGTACCGTTCACGTGGCACGCGATTGCGCTCACAATACGTTCCCATATACGGTGGTATACATGTGTTCTGGCCAGTGGTTCTTCTCCTTCCGTTCCGCACTACCTTTTCCGGCTGTCGTGGATACTGCATTCCTTATCCGATATACCTCTGTTCACGTAGACGAGTCTTACCTGTCCAAGAAAGAGAAATGTACATTGGCGATAAGCCGTCAGCTTATCCTTTGCGCGTACTTATATCGCAGGAATAACAGATTGATAACAGTGGCGATACTTATGCAACAATTATTTCGAGCTGTATGGATCATCTAAATGATTTCGAATGAACATTACTAATTATTTCACAAGATATATTGTTAGATTATTGAATTAATGCGTTGACAGTGTTTAAGTGATAATCTATCAAATGTAATATAGTAATGGCTACGGAGCCGTCGCAGTTGTTTGCGAAGAACCTTCTTATAGAATTTAATTTGTTTAATAATAGTGTTTAATAATTTAATAGTAATTGAAATGCCACATGGTTTTTGTTATTTGCATGAGCAAGTATGCATTTATTCATCGTCAATAGATACGTAAATATATATATATGAAATTTACATAAAGCTCATATACATTGGAAATTGAGATTGCGAATTGGAGATTAGAATTCGACCAATCTTAATCTTAGTCCACTTTGTCTTGATAAGTCGAATTCCAATCTCCAATTCGCAATCTTCAATCTCCAATGCATAGTGTGATACGGTTTAACGTTTATTGCTGCTCAACAATATTCCAATCGTACATTAGTCAAACATAAGAGACCGGATAATTCTTTAGTTGATAATATTAACAAAATATAAATTTCTTTTTTATCTCTTTGTTATGCATAAAATATTCTACAAATTTCGAAGTCTGATAAATATTTTTCATCCCGCGTAAGTTATCAAATTACTCTTAATATTGCTCTCTATACAGGCTATAATAATAAAGATAGAAAGATAAATCGATGCACACGAGCGCGAGCTTAATGAAAAGGAATCATATCTCCTCGAGGCGCAATTACACGACCGCTTGGCATCGCTCTTTATTGCGCGATAAAACGGCAAAGACGGTCATCGAGTGAAGTATCTGCGGCAGCTGTCGGCGCGACGAAATAATCGTAATAGAATTGTCAAAATGTAGTCGCGCGTTATTTTATGAGTGTGAATCGATGTGAATCGCGCCGGATGGGGGAGGACTTCTTTAGCGAGAGGCGCAACGGATCCGTGGAGAATCGTTTCCCCGGAGAATTACCGGGGTATTATATCGAACTGGCAGGACGGCGAGATAGGGGTCTGGTGCAAATGGAGTAGTCCGGCGGAATATGCTAGTGTCACGAGGATGCTTACTAATACCTCGGATTATACAGATATCTCTACGGTATATCTTATTCGCGCGATCGCTACGGCTCCTCGCACGTACATACGTAGGCTGCGTCTTTGGGAAATTACCATATCGCGATAAAAGTCAGCGCGAGGGTTATCGGCATTATTTCTGGCGTAGGAAAAATGTGGGTTCACGTTACAGCAGCAAGAAAAATATGGTTCATGTTACACCAGTTACAAGCGCGAGACTAAGATTTATTCTTTTTGTATCGTCCTCTGCTTTGGATACCGGCGTATGTAAAGTCAGAAACACTATTTAAAAGATTGCAAATTATATACACGATTCCTCAGAACTGTCGTTGTTCTTTCCATCTTGCGAACTTTTTACAGATACTTCATTAAAATTTTTTAAATAAAAATTTAATTAGACATAAAAAATAACATGTACATATATTAGATATTCCTTGTGGTTACTGTATATATAAATTTGTCCTTGGACAAATCTACAATCTATTCGTTATTTATCTAAAACATTAATATAAAATTGGGGTACGAAATATGATTTATATGATCAAAGAGATAGACTGTCTTTTCACGTTTTTTGCGGTAGAGAGTTTTAAGGTGGAAGAGGGTCCACTGAATGCACACGCTTTATTATGTAGACCGATTTGAGAGGTATCGCACCGCTTTCTCGATTCGATTGGATCGGCCGATTCGCTCGGACGACGAATGTATATCGTGCCGTGTAGTACGATGCTGGGGGCAGAGAGAGGTCGGATTGTAGACGGTGGATGGGGTTACAGGGTTGCCAGATCGCGTAATGAAATATGCGTGACGAGAGGTCCCACGAGCCCCGGACTCGCTCCACTGTTACTCAGTTCAGCTCAGCCCGGCGCGGTTCAGTTCTGTTCAGGAAGGGTGGCACGTTATATTATTCAATTATGTCATTCGAGTTATACGCACGGGCCCGCGAAGGTGCGACGGGGACGGAGAGCAAATAGATCGAACGAACGAGGAGAGAGATAGAAAGACACCGCGTCCCCTTTCCTTCCGCCTACGAGCTGGCAACGCCGTATCCGTGAGTAAGTGCGGCGGTGCCTCCTGCTTTAAGGGCGCAGCCATTATGAAATTGTAGTTACTCGATTAATTTCACCCCGGGCGCGAATTATCATAAGATAATAGGCTCTCCCCCGGTTCGTTCGCTCGCGCGCGGAGCCAAGTTAGCGGTTCAATGAAATGTTTTATTGCCAATTACGGTGCGCCATTGGCGTCCTCTGTTGAAAGCACTTTGCTAATTATTCCGCATGGATAGGCCTTCCTTTAACTTATGTAAAAGATTTTAATTGCAATTAAAAAGAGTGTCGCGACGAGTCTTGATAACGTGTAACACGTTGATTTAGAAGCGTCGCGAGTATCCGTTTTGTTTCGCTATTGCTATAATGTGCGTTTTGAAGAGAACATTACCTCGTTGTGATTTATATCAATGATGACAAACGTTGCGTGTGTCTCAGGCGTTGATATCATTCGGCCGCGTGAGAGAAATTTCATTAGAATCACGCGAATATTCCGCAACGAGGTGCGATCGGCCGAGAGAAGACGGGGTAGCCAAAGGCAAAGATAATAAATCAGCGCGCAAGATTTCCCGTGCCGATGACAAACACAATAAGTCCCAATTTCGGTCATTTATATACGCTACGCCCGGGATAATATGACGGAGGATCCTTTGTGCACACACAAGGGGGGACACCACGCCGGGAGTACGGCGGACGCACATGAGTGACGTCACTTACAAGGACATAAATCAAAGCGACGGACGAAAGTCCCGGATACGACGGCAATGATGTTCCCCGGGGAACCGGCTAGCTCAAGTCCTCTTTTTGACTCACTCAAGGCGAATACGCGCGCGCTTCCATCCGACGTGCGCCAATTTCAAGCGTGCGAGTTTAAATCGCACGGTGCTGACAAAGTTTCAGATTGTCGTTTATTTCGCGATAAGTTTCTCTCGTAGGCGCTCGCAAATTTGTGCAAGAGCGATGGCAGAGAAAACTTTATGTTACCGTTGTAGAAACTATTTCGTGCAATGGCTGTAGATTATTATTATATATCGCGAGAAATAAACTTTTTTATTAAGAATGGGATAAGTGAGGCTAACTAAATGTTTATAAATAAATAAAATAGATACGCAAGCTGTAGAGCGATCGTTCGTTCCGATTAGTTGGCACGGATCACAACTACATTCGTTTCCCCACTGCAATGACCACGCGTTACTACGTTTCCGCTGGAGACGGAGATATTATGATGCTGAGCCCTGCTGCCTGTTTCCGGATAACGTTAACTTCTGGATCATTGATTTTATCGATCAATAATTTATTTTCTGGTAGAATAGCTTGACGTCCCGGTCATTATTTATGTGATTTTTCAGTTAATCGCTTTTAAAAATAGTTTTTACATAGCAAAATGTATTTTAATATGTCTTCTAATTAAATCAATGTTATTTCATTCAAACTTTTATATAAAAAAATACTTTTCGCATTTTTTTTTAACCAAACGCGTGGATTATTTTGTACAATTCACTGTTGCAATTGTTTCGCCGTTTTTGTCGAGCTATGTGAGAAACTAGAACGAATTGTTAGAAGACGCGGTTATCATCACGACGATCGCCCGACGAGGTGGGGATTAGCCCTTAAGTGAATCGTCAAATCGTTTCTGCCGCCCTTGGATTCGGTGCATGAACACATGTATCGCATGCTGTGCAAACAGATCGCGGGTGCACACCCTCTCTTCTCTCAGCCGTAAGCTGCATCTCCTTCTTTTCCTGTGGGACCCCTTTTTATTTTCGGTCTCTTTCACTCTCCCGCGTGCTTTTTGTCGTCTCGACTCTCTTTCCGATTCATCGTTTCACCTTCGTCACTTGTCCGGGGGAAGGGGAATAGAACCGTCGCGCTCTGTTTATCCAGCTGCCGTATTTAAATGTCCTTTTAACGCGCCGTAAAATTATATGCAAAAATCCTCATAAAATATGTAAGTCCCCTCTAATGCACCGGGAAATTGTCGCGTTATATCGCCGCGTCTATAGGATTATTATATCGCTCGACGTTTTCATCTTTCACCATCGATCGCTGGTAGCGAAAAAGGGTGTACGCTTTGGGTCCCGCGTGAAATTTAACGCATCCTCTTTATGCAACTTAATCTCGAATGACTTTTTCATTCTTCGTCACACTTTTCTTTTTTTATTATAGATATTATTCGCTTTTTTTAGTATAACAAGCAAAAAAAAGAAAGTAAAAGAGAAAAAAAGTATAAATAAAAATATAATATTTTAATTTGATTATAATTCGTTCAATAACGTAAAGCCATGATTTTCTCACACACATCTTTCTTCTTGTAATTCTCTCCGCATACAATAACGCTCACAAATATTTGATAAACTTTATTTTAACGAATAATCACGTAAGCAGAAATTAAGATAAGCAATAAGAAAATCATAAGTATTCTTTATTCGAGCTAAGAAGGTGCATAATCGTCGTATATTTGCATGGTAGCTACTAAGCTGACAGAGGCTAGGATGCAAAGCAATTTGTTGGTAGCAGCTAACAGGTTGTCAGGTATCGATGGGGGGGCCTAATGTCAGCGGGGGTTCCGCTGCCTAGCGGTAGCTGGTAAGACCAGCGGCGCTTACTCGTTGGCTCCCTGCGACTCCATATGTCATCCCTCTTTTTACCTTTTCATTTTCGCTTGTTTCATTGCACCATTTGAATGAAAAACACATTGGTATCGGCTTTTACCTCTTCTTCCACTTTGCATAAAATACTCAAGTTTATTTTATCATAACTCCACAAGTTTATAAGTATCGTTGCGCTCTTCAAGGTTAAATAATACGTAACTTTTAATCGAATACATAATTAATAAATTGCAAAGGAGACACATTGCTATTCGTCTGATTTTATCATACGAGACGCGCAAATCTGATCGGTATAATATAAATGTTTATTATAATGTAAATATGTAAATATACCAAAGAGAATAATAATATACGGCGCATTCAAAAAATAATATATGCGGGCGAGAGGAATGATTGGATTGAACGAATCCATGTCGCCGATGACGTCCGGTTTTTTTTAATTCCATTGTAATTCCAATATAAGAACGATGCCGCATGATATATTTATCACCAAACACCGGATACAGATCAATATTCATAAGGCAGTTCAGTACGAGTCGCGTCACGCTCATTGACTATGGCGGCCCGGCATTATTATTTTAATCAGTTCGTATAATGTCTCTGCAAATTACATAGTGGATACATTTAATGACCGGAAGAACTAACGCGGTGTGTCAGCAACGGATGAGAAATCACTATGAAACTGAAAAGAGGTCTTCTCATACTTTTATACGCGTATTACATAGTTCACTGTGTAAATGTTTTTTTAATCTATCACGTTTCAGTGGATCTACCTGATTCACTCTCCACATTACTCTGCGATTATATGTGTCGTTACATTTTGTTCAAAAATTACTGACTGGACATTTCTATATAATATGTTGAGCACCTACGAAAGCAAGCGTAATTGTCACATTTAATACTTAAAGCCGGCGGGGACTTTTCCAAGTAATCGATGTAATATTGTCAATAAGACGCCGCTATTTTTCACCATTTAAGTTAAAGTAAGCCCGCGCGCATCCACGACGATTTACGCTTTTATCAACGTTCACACACAAGAGCAGCGTTTAATTATCGACATATCACTGTCTGACCTAAGGCGGCGTTGTTAGGAATACCAACACCAAGCCGGGCACCCCTCCCTCTTGTTATTGATTGTTTCCTTGTTTATTGTATATATTAGATTTAATCGAAGTTCCGGTAGATCAGGTCAGAGGGGAGGCTGGGATGTAGTGGTGTGCGTCGGCGAGGCTGCAATAACTGTCAAACGGTTCCTCGTTTTTAAATCCCTCTTGTAAAGTAAAATGAGACAAGCCCAGCGGCTTCTGTCTCTCTCTTCCGCCCCGCTCTCTCATCCTCCCCTTTTCCCTTTCTCTCCTTCTTTCTCTCTCTCTCCTTTTGTCTTTTTCCATTTCTCTCTTTGTCCCTCCGTTTTTCCGTCCTTCATTCTGCTGAGGTCGGTAAAGCCAATCCCGTGCTGAGGGTTGCACAGCGTAGAATCATGGTGTACGAGGGTAAGCGAGCGGGGAGCAGGGGGAATCATCCACCCCGATTCTCTCTCGGCGTTCTCTATCTCTGATAACTCACGTCAATACAACGCTACAACCTTCCAAGAGCTGGAGGTGCTCCTGAAGATTTACCGTTTGACAGTTTTATTGGCCGATGTCGATTGGATTTCGAAATCATGTCGTACCTCGCGATCTCTGCGAGGTACGGATTATTGCGCCGGAATTAATATCGAATCGATATTTGAAATTTTTTCCCCATATTTACGGTTATGCAAATAATGTGATAAGAAAAACAAAAAAAGAATATCAAATATTATAAGTTTGAGATATGATAGAATTAAGACGCCGCGAATATTTTACATGAAAAATATCTTAAAGTGCGATAAATATTTATTTTCAATAATATTAATACAAGTTTAAGATATAAATAGCTCAATTATGTATTTTGTATGTATAGGTTCTTAAAAATCTCTATATGTCACGATGTTGCGATACATCGTGTATCATGTTGTATTCCACGTACTTCCATGAACATCTGCTAAAGTCGTCTAATAATTTTTGAATGTTTCCTCAATTAACAACATAATGCGAATGCAAAGAAAAGCATATATGTAGAGAAGAAAAAAAATATTGCTTTTTGTTCGCGCTTTTTCAAGATTATTTTTATCTCTTTAATGACCATCCGGCTTCAAATGATTATCGGCTTACCTCGATCTCGAAGAACAGTCGTTACTGCAATTATTCGATTCGCGGTTACGAATACATTGAATGCTAAATAACCGATGCGCACACATGGCATGGCTCGCAGATACAGTGCGACGGGGACGCACGTGTGCGAAACACATAGGCTCATTTTTATTTAATAATTTATATTATGCGCGTGCACATAAATCGATGGATCAGTAAAGAAAGCCATGATATATGAGCTAATTTGACGTATCGCGGAGCTACCGATCGTACCGTCCATGTACGGCCGAATGACCGACTGTAAATTACTGGCACGTCGGCGTAAAAACATCGAGAGCCCTGACTCCCTTGACGGACGTGAACGTTCATCGTCGTCGAAGCCTCATCGACGCTCGAATCCCCATTAGCTGCCGTCCAATATAAACGTTGAATCGACTTTTCATGCGGCACATACTTCGGCGGCGCTTCGTAAGTCGAGAGACATCTTGGCTTGTGCCTCTCCGCAATTTTATGTGTCGCTTCGATAAGTCACGGATACTTAAATGTTCCCCGCATAAAAATCTACTATATGTGAGTGAAAAAACGCCATATTGGGATTATAAGTAAAGAATGTAATATAATTTTTGATTATGAATCGGTAGATTCCATTATTATTTTCACGCACGCATGTTTCATTTTACTTTTGTTCACATTAATTAGCATTTGTTCGATAGAAAAGACGGAAATTGACATTGTACATCATCAAGAAAATGTATTGATTTATATATTTTCAAAGATCTACAATGAGCCACACATTCTACCATAATAGTGTTTTTGCTGCTCCACCGGGTAGACCACCGCGGAGATGAAATCGTCTTTCCTTGTTCAACCTAGCGTCTTTCGTGTGCTTCTACTCTCTCGACAGCAGCGATTTGTTTAGTCTTTTTCGTGCAATTCTAACGCGGGCTTTCAGTAGAATTCAGGCCACCGTAGAAAGAAATTGTGTGACGAGGAGGCTTTCGTCAAAAAGCCAAATCTGACGTCGTCTGAATGATAGGAATCGCAATAAAATCAATACGATAGCCAAATAAAAGATACTAAAACGAGAAATTTTACCAGAATAGCCGTGTAACTGCAAGAAATTTATCATATTAACTTTTATTGGAACATCAATCTTTACATATAAAAATTTAGTCACGGTTTTTGTTATTTAAGTTATTTAAATTACTATTTAAGCTGTTATTTCAATATTGAATTCTATTGCAAACTTGCTACTCTAAAAAATTATGTAAAATATTGCTATATACTTAAAAATAGAAGTTTTATATAAAAGAGTTAAGAATTTTGTTTATATATCTTAGAAATCTGAAAGTTAATTAGATGACGCAGCAGCTGGATAATTATACTAATTTTCTATTCAATTAAGTAAATAAAAGATCGCGAATTCTTCATGTTGAATATTAAAATACGTGATATATAGATTTTCAGTCAAAAATAATATACAAAAAACTTGTATTCTTGTCATTTCATGCCGACTGATTCATACTTAAACTACGTATATTTTAGCAGTAAAATTTATGCCGCATTCTACAATATGGTGGCGTAATAAAAACTGTGGAACCCCGTAGATTACGTCTTTCAACAATGAACGTTTGTATAGGCTTCCAGCTGTTCGAATGTCCGAGCAGGAAAACAATGTGATTTCCACTTTGCCGGCTTAAACGCGCGCTCGAACGAGAACAGCACGACGACGCGAGCTGGAAGAACCACCCACGGAGCGACGGTGGAACGGGTGAAGATTTCTGTTGATCATCTCGATCGCGCCGGCTCGCCTTTATGTGCATATTATGTATTTATTATGGCTGCCTACCAGGAATCGCGCGACAAAACCATAGGAGCCTGGAGAATTTTTCCTTTTGCTCCTCCGCGGGACTCTTTGGAGACCGTTCCACATAACGTCCGAGAATCCTGCGGTCTCGGGCAGGGGGCTCATTAATTGACACCGTGATACTTGCCCCACCGGTCTTGGTGGTCCACTTGCCTTTAACGATACGCGCCAATTCCATCGATCGTTGTCGTCGATGATCGCGATTGGTTCATCTATCAAAAGAAAAAAAAAAGTTCCACGATTTATCAGTCTGATAAAATGGCTACAATTTCGCAGCTCAATTATACATTACGTTAAATTTTGTGCTTGGTAATAAGCATTTTGTGGTGACAAGATTATAACAAGTTGAATAATAATTAACGATGATAAAACGTTTTATGCGTTTTAGGATACAAAAATAAAAGTGTTGAAAACAAAACACATAGACATACAAATTTTTATACTTTATTTTGAAAGATTTGAAATCATTCTGATGTCTTAAATTTTTATTTTACTTCATACTTTTAGATTTTTTCTTCATTATTTTATTTTAATGCTGCTCCATTATTGGTTTAATTGTAACACAAAAGTAAATATTGAATTTTTTATGAATAATTATTATTTTCTAAAAGCTTCGAATCAGATTTATATGATTTTTTTGTTGAAAACCAAGTGTGTTATAATATATTCTTAAAATTTCACAGATTCTTCGCAGAACATTCTGCATATTAACATACGATTCACGTACTTGCTGTATCTCCAGTTTTGTGAACACAAGTAACCAGTTGGCACATTTAAGAATCGATTTTTTGAATTTTTATTGTCACGTACGGGCCTTTCTCCGCAAAATTCGACTCGACTGCGTATCACGTACAACCTATAGCTCGCATCATGCGCTTTCTGAGACTACTGTTCATTTATAGGGCAATCTGTAAGCTACGGGCGGATACGTTGACGGATGCTTCGTGACACCGTAGAACTGGGCCGGCGCTCATAACGCATTTACATTCCTTTCAATGTCGCGCCACGTTCAGCGGAGGCCACTTCTCGAATTGATATTCCTAACTTGAGTTCTTCGATTTATTGACCGTTTCCCTATAACGACCATCTATAATAATCTCATATATAAAATTTTAGACCAGATGCCATATGTAATTAAATATTTCGATTGACGATACGCGCAATCATGAAAAATATCTAAATATTATTAAAATTTTTAGAAACATATTCAAAACTTGTAAATAACATAATTGTAGGTAGCTCTTATTTTAAATGATAAAAATTTACGTCAATACCATCTTTCAAATACTCATTTATAGATTATAACAATTTATTATAAGAAATAAATTTGTAATTATAAATTTTTTAAATACTAACGTGTCCAATTGTCATCAGCAAATATTGTCATTGTCAGCAAAATTTCAATATTTTAACTTGCACAGTCGTAACTATATCTCGCACAAGTAATGTAGTATACTATTTTAAAAAAAGCTATTTTTTTTTATTTCAAAGAAAAGTGTTTAATATTATGTAATGCACGCGTTACGAAGGAACGCGGACATCGAAGTACAGTAAATTTTCGTTGACAGTCTCGGAAAGAAAGTTTCCATAATTTTGTCGAGAAATAAAAAAGGTTGACTGATGACTGACGACGCGGATGACAAGTGAAACGCGTAAGTATTCAAAGATCGATCGAGACTCGACCTGGTTCCAGGAAGAGTGAAGCATGTACCAGCGGAATTGTCATTCTGCACGTATTCATAGTAATAATAAATTATAATTCTTTTTTTAAATAGGTGGACGGCATGTGGATACACCTAACGGAGCATCTTCCACGGAGTATCACGTGTGGGTAAGTGCCGGCCTCATATTTACGATTATAATGTCCGCATAGCATTATTTCGATCTGGGAAACGCGAACATGACGGAATGCCGACGAGCTATCATGCCGTCGCATAATAATACTTACATGCTCGTGATATTTCTACGATCTGATCGTGTAGATTGCTATTCGGATCAGATATGAATATGATTATAAAGCTTTCGCAGTGCGAACGGCAGAACGCACCGAGAAATTTTCGCGATGAAGATATAAAATAACATTAGACGCTGGCTCGCTTCTCTTTGGAATTCTTGTCTCTTAACACCGAATGCCGGAGATAAAATCGGCTCTTTACGGTGATTACGTTTCGCATATTTGTGCTCATACGTTAGTGTGATAAGTGTTCTCTGCAGAATTAAGGAAGGAACTTAGATTTTATAGCGGGATGACCGTTAGTGCTGACAATATAATGTTTCATAAATCATTGGTTTTATGAAATATTAAATTAAAATAATTATTTATTGTGATTATAATATGATTCATTTTGCTTCGAAGAACAAAACTAAGCCTCTTTAGCAGTCGTAAGGTATCGTTATAAGTAGCCTTGTTCGCTGTCTAATTGTTATTTCTGAAGAAACGTACGATGCATTAGAACATGATCACGTATGTGATACGTCACTTTAGTGCGTGGTGTTCCGCATCGTGCGTGGGAACTGTCCAGGTCACACGTCTACGCACTGTGTGCGGAATTATTAAGTAACCTGAGGAAACATTAGTTTGCTTCGAACGATAGCACCCATGCAAGATTGCATGATTTATGATTTTCAATGTGAATTATCGTATGCAATATAATTTGCAAAATTAGAAAGTTACGAAAAGAGAAAACTACATAAATTTGAAGAAAAAAATAGTCGAGTACTCGAAAAATATAACAGAAAACTCAGTTGGGCGTGAAATATGTTTTAAAAAGTTGCAATAATTCATAGTTGAAAAAAAACATTAGAAAGTCGTGTTTTTTGTAGGAAAAATTTTCCAACTTTCTTCATGTTGCATAACTTCATGATTAAGTTATTACGTGGCTTCGAGGTAATGCTGGAATGCGTAAAATCTTGTTGGCTTATTCGCAAACGCTTCTTAAACAAGCTCATTTCTCCATCACTCTATAATTTTCTCTACACAATTTGTTGTCTTAGGCCGTATTGATAATAGATTTAGATATAAATGTTAAGAATTTTAACAATCTTGTTGATAATTTCGTTCTTTAGATTATCATTTTTATTAAATCCTTTTGCTACAGCGAAGGCAGCGCGCGTAGGGATTATTTTCCGTATTGTGGTTTAATGATACATTTGTTATAAGGATAATCTTCTTAACAATTCAAATTAGATAGTGTATGTTTATGTAAATAAATGTTTTAAGCAGTTTCGATTGCGCCGCTTCAAATTATGATCGTCGCCCTACAATCATGCAGATCTCCCAATCGTTAAGAGTAAGTTTATTCTCGAGTCCTGAGGGATCGTTTCCTGCATCACCGTCAACTCGGACGAAGAGGGCGGTGCGCGGGAGTTTTACACATAAATCTGGTCTACGTACGGGAGCGACTCCTCATGGGAGTTAGACCAGGATAGGATGGGAAAGGACTCGTGGAACTCTTCTCTTTAAAAGACCGTTGAGAATGTGAGAACCGAATGTCGTTCTTTTTAGTTTGCAAGAAAGCTTTGCCTTCTCCTTTTTTGCGCTTCGCCTCTTCTTTGAATTGAAATGATAGAGAATAAATCGCATGGACGTTGGTTAAGTTATCATATCAGTATTATATGATTTTGATAAATACATTTGGGATTGATTGACTAATTCATGTGATGCATCGAAATATAATTTAATTAATCAGTAAATTTAATTCAAATCAAAATTAACGTAATTAATTTATATTTTAATTTAATATACTTTTATATTAAAATATGATCAATATCGATCTGTATTTCATATCGATATGGGATCTGACTATTTAAGCGTTTATTATCAAAGCAAATAAAAGTTAATTTTATATATTTCTTTATGAATATACATAATTTGAAATAATAGCGAATGAGAAAAGAAAAATTTATATCGCATTTTCATAAAAAAATTAAGTCAATTCTACAGATAAATTTTTGGTTTTTTATATTATATTAGTATTTTTAATAATAGATTTAAATTAGAAATGAAAAGCTTTTGTTTGAATCACGAAATGCTAAGCTCACAAACTTTAGGATGGATAATTCTTAAACAGTGAAAACAGCCCTTTTATCGCGTCCCGCCGATCATAGATCGCATCTGATTGACGATTTAGGGAAAAACTTCTGCATTTCCCAGACGCCTTTTTTTGCACGAAACACGTAAAACCGTCAAAGAAGTCCTTGAACTCTCCGAGAGATGGCAGAGCATAGACATTGCTCGCAGCTTCGCAAAAGCCTACAAGTCTACTGTATTTTGCAACTATATTTTTTTCAATTCAACAATCCGCTTTAATCATGTAATTACTGACGAATACAGGATGCATCGCCCGATGCAATGATTACGCGTAATCTTGTAAATTCCTGTATAATCAGCTTGTCGTATATATCATGATGCAGTTCGAAATTTAAATCGTTTTGCAATACAATTAAATGTGATTAATCTATTGATTCATCTATTGTCCTTTTCACGTCAATTTTATTTATTATTTTTTATAGTTTACGATGAATTTTTAATCAGTGTTTTTTATAGATAGCATTATTCTTGTGTGTAGAAAAGTATCATTTATTGTGCAATAGTGTAATTATCACTTGTGTTGTACTTCCTTGATATTATCCGCCGGAAGAACAGTGCTCTTTTACGATTACATGAAATAAAGCAGTGAACAAGAGTAGTGCTAATTTATGCACACACGATAAATGGCGTAGAAACGAAACTAACGTAGTGTTTGAAAATACGTGCTTCACTTGTTTTATCTATGTAAGAAGTTCCTTGTATCTTTATTTCTCTTTCTCTCTTGCTTCACGTACGTGCATTGACTCACACATTTTTTGCGCCTTTCTATTTATTTTCTTCGTCACTCGTGTGCCAGAATTAACCGGATTAATTGTAGCATTGAGAATAGCGATAGTAACGCAATGTAGAGTTACAAAGCTCATTTTGACGAATTAATTATTAGTTTTAATTGAAATGCCTAAGACGCGTTAACTAGACGCGCTAAAAGCACATTATGGCACAAAGGAATTTCATCGTGACTTGTATGAGACTAGTTCGTAATCGTATGGCGACGATAAATGTGTCTTCTATGGTACACGAATGCAGAAATATTCCCGAGCTATGTCGCGTAGTAGAGGAGGGAGGGAGTACGCCCTTATAAAGGCTCGTAGTGGTTACACAGATGATGCGCTCTAATAATTA